GAATAAAGTGAGGCGGAATCAAATCCTTCAGTTTCATGAAAGTCAAATAATTTACTCACTGAGTAACCACCAAAACAAGTAAAAAATGTAATGAATACAAAAATTTCTAATGCTAAGCTTGTGTGGCACTAAAATGATCAGTGAGTTAGATTATACATGATCAACAAAATCAAGCTTATGAAAGCCAATATGTTTATGAGTACGTTATACTATCTATAGATCAATTTATTTCTTATTATGTAGATGGTTTTTTTCACTTGCTGTATACAGATTCCCATTTGAATACTGAATCCAGTCATCTATATTTAAGCTCAATAACTTTCATCGAAAACTAGGATAATAACCTAAGTGATGTTTGGAGAAAAACTATCAATTATGAAATAATGGAAATAGACATTCTAGTTATGAAATTGATAAGTCGTAAAATCGTGCAATTTTTTATTTTGTAAATATTTTCAAAAATCTCTTCAGTTTTTACCTAACTCTTCTATCTAATCTTAAGAGAGTTCTAGTTTCTTAAGAAATCAAATATCTCATTGGTTTATCTCAAAATATCAGTTTACTGATTACTGCATGGAACACATAAAATAAAATCGAAATGTTGTTTGAAATTACTTGAATTGCTCACAATTTAATGAGAATGGTTAACAATGTAATGAATGACACATATATTACTTGAGATAAAAATCACAAAACGAAATATGAAAATTAAATAGTAAACAAGATGCTAAGTTTATGGATTTTCATAGATATGTTTTTCTTTTATTACTTCTTAATGTTTGGTAGTATGTAGTGGAACTATGACTCAAATAACAAATAGGTAAATATTCTGATTTCATTATACAAAGTAAAAGTAATCAAACCAAACGTAATACTTTTTCCATTTTTTTTCTAGATATACTTTTAAATATTTTATTGATCTACTAAATGAAATTAATCAAAATTCCACCTGATTCGATACACCTTTTCCTTAGCCTAGCTGGATATTGGAGAATTGTTTATAAGGATTCTGTGTACTTTACCTCACAATCAATAAACTTGTAATTGAAAACTGATTTTTTTCTTCGTTATGACAAGCTTCTTTGAAGATGATTTAATTCAAGTATTCATCCTACCCAAACGATAAGCTCTATTTAAAAGACTGTAGGTCAAAAAACATTAGGCAAATATAACCTAAATATCATCAGACATTTATACACAATATATTGTTTTTATGATTTTTTATATAAAATGGTTAACTATAATTAATTTTCCGTAATGAGATATAATAATAAATTTTTGATAAAAATTTTGTTTTTGAAAGTGTTTCTCTCGGAAATTTGTATCTACTTTACAGTAAGAAAATATGGTTTTAAAAACAAGAATACTTTTAATTTCATGTTCAACTCACAGCCATCATTTGGTATGTTTTTTAGAAGATTGATACAGTAATTAGTTTTGCTTAGTTTTAGTAAATAAATTGTAGATAAATTAGTTTGGTGAAACGAATATAATCAATTAAAGATCAGATTTATTTTAAATAAGAAAGTTAGTCAGCTACAACGTAGGACCAGGCACATATATGCATCGGCCCAAGTTACCATACCTCATTAACACAACAAGATGAACACTAAATTCATAGAAGCAGTTAACTCAGTGGTGGTAATATACAAAACAAAGATTGCATATAAGGACATAGTACAGGAAGAAAGAATTGGTTCGTAGAAAGAAAGATATGAAGTGACTTTAATCTCTTAGTTTAAGGGAACATAGAGAGTGTATACACCGACGCCATTGTGATCGATTCTGAGCCATGTCACCAAGAGTCTCCAATCACTGGTTACGATAGTCACGCGGACCCCAACCAAGTAGTTTAGTAGTATCTACCAACATGGCTCAGACTAGAAGTTAGTGACTTCAAGCACTGATGCCATGTTTTGGTTTGGCCGCCCCTAACTTTCTTTCAACCGACCCAAACACAGGTTAGCATTGCACGTCGTGGTAATCGGTGTTCAGGCATACGTAACACGTGACCCAACCATCTCAGTCGATGAAGATTCATAACCTCATCAACTGATTTACCATCATTACCTAATACCCTGCGTCTAACCTCACAATTACTTACCCGGTGATCCCAGCAGACGCCAGCAATATTTCTGAGGCATCTGTGATCAAATACTAGTAGCTTACAAGTATCTTTTACTCTTAATGGTCACGTTTTGCGGCCGTAAAGTAAAATAGAACGAACTGCCGCGCAGTATACTCGTCCTTTTATTGATAGACGGATATCTCGCCTTCGCCACAGGTGACGTAAGTTGGCAAAAGCCAAGCGAGCTTTTCGAATTCGTGCTGTGATTTCGTCAGACACCAACCCATTAGGGCTGATCAGATTTCCAAGATAGGTGAAGTTGTCAACGCGTTCGACTACTTCACTCCCTATCCTTAGTTCGGGTGTTGACGCAGACCAGTCCTGAAACAACAACTTGCATCTAGAGGGAGAGAAGCGCATTCCAAACATTCTGGCATTGTTGCTTAGTGCTACCAAAAGACTGCATTTTATCAGCGTCTTCATCAAACAGGACTATATCATCTGCGTATTCTAAGTCGATAAGTGGATCTCCTGGAAGAAGATCAATCTCCGAGAATTCAGTCTACGAGAATGTTATTTCCATCAATAGGTCTATGATGAAGTTAAACAAAAATGGGGAAAGTGGACAGCCTTGACGGACACCACTTGAGGTTGCAAAAGTAGATGACAGTTCGCCATAAGCTCTGACTCGACTAGTAGTGTTCGAGTAAAGAGCCTTCACAAGGTTTATGTACTTCTGAGGTATGCCTTTCAATGACAGACACTGCCACAGAATCTCACGGTCTACCGAGTCAAATGCTGCTTTTAAGTCAAGAAAGACCACCATTATCGGAAGCCAATAATTATGTCTTTGTTCTAGAACCTGACGAATGGTGAATATGTGTGGGGTGCAGTCTAGACCAGGTCTGAAGCCAGCTTGATTCTCTCGTGTTTGCAGTTTATGAGTCTTAGTTAGGCGTCTGATAATTATCGAGGCTAGTTTTTCCGATACTATATTAGTTAAACTAATCCCTCTATGGTTATCACAGGATGATTTTGACCCTCTCTTATATATCGGGACGATAAGTGATTGTGACCAGTCAGATGTGATTACGTTCAACTCCCAGATTTTAGCTAAAATATTAATCAACCTAATCGCTAAAACTAGACCACTATTCTTAAAGACCTCTGGAGTCAATTCATCTGGACCAGCTGCTTTATGAACTTCAGCTAGAGTTGGGGGACCTACTTAAATGTTCCATTCACACTGTCTGGGGATGGAGGGTAGTTGTAGAGTAGCTGAAGGCCAACTGAACTACTAATTAAATGCCTTTACTTAAATTCTATTTGAGTTTTACATACAAATAACTTAAATTCCAAAAACATAATTTCAAATTTCAGAAGAAATGTCTTGTGAGTTATAGATCCTGTGAATATTTGGTTCACTTTACTATTTAGAACAATTCATTGATTTTCACTACTATTAAACTTATTATTTGTAATCTAAACAAACTAGGTTTATATGTTTTTCGATAAAAATTCAACAGAAATGAAGAAAATAATTTGTTACTTCTGATATTCATATCAAAATTAGTGTGTTACCTTAATCCAATAAATTTCCAGTGGTGTAGTATTAATCGTCTGGTAAAGTCGTTATACGCAATATAAACTAAGCATGAACATTGAAGAAAAGGAGGCTGCAATATATGTTTTATTAAACCAGCACAGTTAAAATGTCGTTAATGAATAACATTTTCTTAATGAATTCTGAAAATCCCAATTTTACATACCTGGATGTAAACTAATGAACCGGCAGTGAAGCAGAACAAGTATGTATAAACAAATATATGGTAAATAAGGGGATAAATACTGTCAAGTAATTTTTTACTAACATCTTGGTTATCTAAAATAATTAAAGGTATTTAGATCGCTGATGGAAAAATTATGTAAGAATAATTATTTATCCTTACAATAAGCAGGCTTAAGCCAAAATTTAGTTAATTAGTATATGTATTCATCAATTGTGATATTCTTCACTTTCTACATAAATTTTTTGAGAACTGTTATTTCTTAATATGAATCTATTCATTCCTTATGTGTTTCAATACATAATTTAAATGAAATGAAAGTTATTCTACTCGCATTTGCTAGAATAGAAATGACCTAATAAAAAGAATTTAAGTCTATCATAATTAAATACTCAGTATGTTCAAAATTGAAAACATATCGTTCTGAAAATCATTTATGGAAGGTTATGGTCTTAATTATGATAAATTAAATAAATTTCTTATTTAGACTGGGGACTAAATCTACTGATAGGCTGATCGTGATATATTTCTGGTTAGCGTTTATTTAGCGAGTTAGTTTTCTACGGGATGGGGTCGCTAAACCTATGTTCAACCCTCCTCCTTTATCCGTGCTTGGGACCGGCACTAGCCCCCGGGGGGATATATATACGGTGTGTTCGTAACAAGAAAACCACATTTATAAAAACATTTGAATGGTTTAACTCATTTATTCTGGATTTTTTATTAACTATCTTCACCATCATTAATTAATTAGTTCATGTTCAAGTTAATTTTCATAAAAGTAAAAAATCATTTACTTTTTACTATTGATTAAAAGCTGAAAACAATGTTCACTTGTATGTAAACTTATTTAACCAATCATATCCTTATTTTTTACTGACCAATTAGGATTAAGTATTTTTAAACGTTTGTTTGTATATATTCCATCGTTAAATTAATTGTTTTGTAACCTTAATAGATATATTCAAATTTATATATAAATATATATATATAATTGTTTTTTGATAGTCATCAGTATTATGACAGTATCTATTCATATCAATAACACATTGCAACTATCTATTTCAAAACAAGACATAATATATTAATTCAGAAGAAGTTATGTAGTGAATTGTGAAAAAAAATATTTTCTTGTTTTAACAAAAATGGCAATTGATAAGCCTGACTCATCTAACTTTATTGGATTTCCAAGAAGTGTTTCAGAAATAATTTACAATTGTTTCGATTATCATCATAAACCAGGTAATAATAATTTTACAAAATTAGAGAATAATATGACTAATTCCATACATGAAGACAGCGTTATGATTCATGGGGATACAATTGAAATAACTTATTTAAATGAAACATATTCGAGATCAATTAACTCTTATTGTCCGATATTACGAAGTCAATCAACAGTTGCACACATAAGTATGGCAGTAGCTTCAATTACTATGTTCGCTCACTTTATCATGGTGTTCTCTGTAAATAAAAGTTTGAGAAGACTTTATGGGAATTGTTTGTCGCTTATTATTTTATTCAGTTCACTACATAATGGAGTCTTATTTTTTAGTGCATACATGCCATCAACAATTAGTTTCAATATGACTAATAAAGAAGTAACTTATTTTACTAGAGAAAATATGTTTTTTAACTGCCGATTCATGGATTTCCTAACACATTATCTTATTCTGTCTATATATCTTGGAATATTTTTCGGTCTGTTTGAGCACCATTTACAATTGAATCATTGTTACAAGCATTCATCCATCAAAACAAAATCATGGAATTTCAAATCACCTCACTGTTTGTGGAAAAAACAGAAATGTCCAAGTACATCTTGTCAAAAAGCAAAGTATAATGATTGGTTTACTAATTCATGTGCAATAACTGGTGTTCCGAAGGGCAATTTTGTTAGAAAATTTCAATGTGTTATAACACAACCAGAAGCTAAATTCAAAACAGTTCGATCATTAGAGCGAATTAAGAAAGATCAAGAAAGAAAAACAAGATTTGTAGCACTGAAAGATGGATATTCCAGTCATCAGAGCAATATAATTCCACGTGTCATTAATAATGATGTAAGGATGCATAATAATCGTATGCGGAATTTCATTGTAATAAGCGCTATTGTTTGTTTACCAATTTTTCCAACAACCTATGGAATTTGGGCTTCATATTATTTAAATTTGAATAGCATATGGAATCCTGCTTATGGAATTATTACATGCGGCAATCTAGGTGGTTGTTTAACTGCTTACCAATGGTTGATGCATATACCAGTTGCTTTTTTATGTTTTGCATCTATTGTTCTTATTATTTTAATATCAATTAAAACTGATACAAATTGTCTTATACAAGCTCATTTTTCATCACAATCAGTGGATGTGAAAGCACGTTTTCGAATGTTTAGCAAAATGGCGATAAGTCATACCTTCTTATGGATACTTGCATTCATATCAAATTATATATGTCATACTATTGTATGGCAATTCTACGGAATTTTTATAGCTTTACAAAGTCTTTATATTATTGTTAGTTTTACATTTTCACGACCATTTTTAGAAGTATTATTTAAACGTGATGATCCATTAGGACGTTTAAAACTAGATAATTTAGCTATGCAATTACCTTTGGGCGTGTTTCACAGTCATAGATCAATTCCAGTGTCATCAAATGTAGGTAGCTCAGTTATAAGTCCACTTAGTAAATAATTTCTTATATGCCTGTAAAATCACGAAAATGTAATAGAAATATATATTTTTTTAATAACTGGTTTCTATGGTTATTTCTAGAATATGGTTTTTATTGCTTAACTATGACTGCATGTACTTTTTTACAATATGAGTAATACAAGCAATAATTACAATGTAAATGTTAAGATTCGTTGAATTCTTTTTTTAATTGTTCATATGAGTGAAATGAGAAGAAAAGGATTAGTTTTATTCATTATTGTTAGCGAATTATTTTTCATTCATGTGCTATATACTACTGGTTTCGACTAATAAAAGTCCGACTGTTAATCTGACTATAAATAAGTCATACAAAATTAATGTGTTCAGACATTATTATTATTTATTTTTGATGTCTAATAAATCTTATCTGAGTCCTTCGCGTTCCTACTTATGTCGGCTGATTCACAAATTTCCAATACCAAGTATTAAATCAATTACGTTTGACGCACATACAACATTGTTACATAATTGTACCATAAAGTTTGAAGTCATCGAGTTGCTCTTTTGTGAAGAATTCGATCAATTTTGGATTTCATAATCACCGATAAAATTTTCCATGCAAGTAAAACATTTTCAGTGTACTTTGATCTATCAATCAAAGAAGCTATTCAATAGAGTAAATTTTTATGGGAAACTAACTTGGAAGCACGAAAAGATGAATATACTCTGGTTGATTACTGAGTTTCTACCATTTGTTTACTACAGACTGTCTTAGTTACCATGATAATTTGTTATATTTTTGTGATATGTTAATATAAACAATGCTATTAGAACTGGCAATTCCAACTTGATACATCTAGCTTTTTATTCTTTGATACTACTAGTTTTGATTCTTAAATTTAGAAGTGTCTGACAAATTAGTTTATACAAACTGACTGATCTCCAAATAAAACCATACTTTTCCAAAATAACTATAAACCAATAAAAATGGTAGGAGTTATCGTGAATACTTTTTACCGATAGACACTAGTGGTTCGAAATTATTATTAAAGTTTATCCATATAGAACTGCTTATGACTAATCATTCTGTTGGATAATATCAACATCTAAAATTAATTAGATCAGTGAAAAATTTTGATAACTGGTTGTTGCTTAGCCGACGTGAAAATGGCACATATTTCAGGACCAGTCTAACACTGCAAGTAACACTTATAAGCAAATCGCTGAATCTGCTTAATAACTAAAAAATAATTTTCCGTTAGGAAAGAATATTTAACTTAATAATAATTTTGTAGGATTAAGTTAATAGTAATTGTTCCATTCAATGCTGTGTGCTTAGACACGAAAAAAAATCTAGTTTCTTTCAAGTTACACTTTATTAAGCTAATCTACGAATCTTCAATGAATACCGAAAATGAAGATCAAAAAGTTTCATAGTTCACTTAGATCCAATAAGATAACTCACTATAGTACATTTGGTTTCCTGTTGACTTCTCTGGTTCACAGGGTTTCCATTCAGAAAAAATGGATTAATTTAAGCTTCTAATATAGAAACTTACATGCATTTTTGTATTGTGTGAGGGATAAGAAAATCATACTATCGTAAAACACTTGTTCACATAAATTTTATTACTTTATCTAAAAATATCTTTTAGTGCTTCCAAGCCTAATTAATTCTGAATAAAAAAATGAAGTATACTTTTAAAGTTTCCAATGCATTGTGCTCAGGCTCATCACAAAGAGTTATATTTTATCTTTACCTGTAAAATATGAAATGTAAAGGAATTTATTTGTCGAAACAATTAGTTTAAGTTGGACAATCTGACAAAACATAAAAATTATCTATACCACTCTCAATTTCCTTTTGATTCTAATTTTGATTTACAACGTTTATTTTGAAAATGTCATTGCAACTTAAAACTGTATAAGCGATAACAGATCGTGTATAAGTCAGAATAAAAAGGTAACACTGAATTTAAAACACTTTTTTTTTCCATTTCTCAAGCGACAGATTAGTTTTCACATTTCTGTCAGATATTCACTTATCATACTTTTCAATCGAACTAACCTATTCACTTATGACAGTTTATTTGATACATTGCATTTCTGTAAACTATTCAATATCTTCTTAGTTTCAAATCATCTGACATAATTTGTATCAAAGCCATGAATTTCACTAAACAAATCAAAATTTATATATAACCCCCTAGTTTACACATTTTCACTTCATCCCATATTTCATTTTTTTTAAGCAGATAACTACATTAGTTGTCAAAAGTTTCTAACAAACAAAGATTAGCGTTATTTTTTTTATTATGTTAAATAAATTACTTGTGTTGTAAGCAGAGAATATGGTACTTCACTTCCAGGATGTAAAAGAAGTACAGATTGATCAAGAGACATCTTATTTCTTCAGCAAAGAATTCATACGCTTCATTTCGGCAGGTCAATTAGTAACAGGAATTCTTATACAAACAATATAATTCAAGTCCGTGTACGAAAGTTTACACAACTGATTGATCACTAAGTAATGGCATTTCCCTAGCCTTTCATTGCAGTTCGGATTCTGTCGATTAAGTTGCTGATTGGTCACTCGTATAAGTGACTTCACATGGTATCTACTATGTTGAGGTGTTAGTTGATTAAAGGAGAGAAACAAGAACTTCTAGACCTATGCTTCGTGTTAGTTTACTCACGTCACCTATAACCACTTAAATATCCTATTTTTAACTGAATTACAAACAGCATTAATTTGATAAACATCTTCAACTTCAAATTTTATTGTTGTTGTTTTTTTGGTGAAACTGTTCAGTCTGTTCCTATACAAATTTACCTGAAGAAAATACGATCAAATTTTGTATTGTAAGTGAATATAAGTTCGTCTTATATCTTTCAGGCTTTTTTTGAATATATTTTGAAACTTATTTACAGGAATTTTAATATATATGAGACTGCTTGTTTCAGGAATCGTATGAACATACAACCTAGCCTTAGGAACTATCATTGAACTAACCTTCATAATAAATCATTCATGCAAACATGTAATATGATATAGGAGAAATTCATGAACACAATTTCAAATACAATGTCTCTTTAATAAAACTTAAAGTTCTTTCTGCTTTTAAGATAAAATGTATTTGTATAGGTTTGTGTGTTTGAATTTGTGATTAGTTTTGTACTGCAACCAAGTTCGAAATGTATAAGTATTGGGGATTGGTGATACAATTAAATAGTGAACCGAAATTTTCATCATATCTAGTTCATGTGATATAGTTAGTTCTTTTTTAAATTGTTTCAAGCCTGTTCATCATGCTGTGATACGAACTTAGTCTTTTCGTTCTATATTACTTTTTAAGTTGAAAAACACTTTTTTAGAGAGTCTTTATCACAAATAAATTTGTATATATTCAGGTAATTGAAGTTCAACTGAATTCTTCAGAATTATATCTCCGTGTACTTACATAAGTAGCTGTATACATAGAATGACCATGTTAAAGTGTCTGGGTCATATCAAACTGAAATCAAAAAAATGTAATAAGTAAAATTAGTCAGTTACTTGAATCATGCTTTCTTCCTACACATATTACGTTATTGGTTTATTGAATAACAACACCTTATATTTGAAACTTTTAAAAAACTTATATTATCCATAGGTTTCTTACCACTAGTTTATCGGATTACACTACACTGAATTTTATCAAGGCATTTGCTTAGTGGTAAAAGCAATCAAACTTTAATTCGTGTTTTTGACTTTGTTTCATGTTTTCCATTAGTTTCTATAGCCATAGAATATAGAGTTAAGTCCAAATATGAGTATACGAATATATACTACCATCAGATTAGTAGTCATACAAAATTTGGATAATTTTCCGTCAGAATTCTTCTGTTTAGATAAAATCCTAATTGAGTCCATTAATACCTTTGTACAAAAAATAGTCTATAAAATTATGAGATTATCACGTAAATTACTGTTTGGGTTATAATATGTCAGACAGTATATAGACGTGATAATTAATTCTTAAATTTACAAACTGATGATTAGCGTACGAAATCAGAGGATTGCAATAACATACCTTTATTTCTGCTTATTTTGTGCAAAATATTTTGTGTATAAGTATATGATTTTACTGCTACAAAGTTGTTTCAATCCTCCAGTTATATTAAAACATAGACATATGAATATAGAATATTTTTTAAAATAATTTTTATCCCATTCTATAGTTATTAGTCCGTTTTATTATTATCCCTTTTATTATAATCGTAGAACCTGAAGAAAATTTACTCAAAGGAATATTTTTTGTTTATATATCTGTGTGCTAATCAACTTTTAGCCTTTTAATATCCATCCAATCAATGATCTGGATTTGTTGGTAATCATCATCGCCTACACTAATCGTAGATTATTTCTTCTGTTATAACATACTATTTGCATTTGATCAAAAGTGAATAAAGCACTGACTATCCATAATATTATTTATATGAATTTGTAAAACATCTGAAATTATTTAGAGAAACGAATCAGATTGCTCTTTATTAATTCTTTATTAGAGGGCTTTACTCTCATCGCTTTTTCAGCCAGTCGGTGAGAATTCAGTTGTTCGAATCAGATTTTACAAGTATCAGAAAAAATTCAAAACATTTGTTATCAAATTCAGATCAAATCTTTTATTGTTGAGCTCTATGAATACAGAGAGCTTGAATTAATTTCGGACTATTAAAGCATTCAAGTCATTAAGCATTCTACTGGTACATGAACAATTCTACAGCTAACAGTCGACTTAGACAAACAACCCAGTATTTATATTTAAATAACTCAGTATCACTATATGGTTTTTATTTGTTTTAACATAGGCTATGAGGTTCTTAGCAGTGCATGTTACTAAGCAACAGGATTGAGAAGGAAGACAAATACATCAACATTTCAGAATGTTCTAACAACGTTTACCAAATAATGGGTGTTCAAAGACTTTTATAGGTGTAAGTATAGGGTTGTGAAAATAGTTGGTTTTCATCGAACTCATGAACCGATCAATATTAAA